TGTGGGCGGGGGAGTGTCCAGACTAGCGCGCTGAGCCGACAAACAGCTGATCAGCTGTTTGCCGGCTCAGCACGGCAGCCATGTAAATTTAAATGAAGTTGCGATTATTTAAATCGCCGCTTCATTTCCCTCTGCCTACAACCCTCATCTACATGGCTCCGTCGATGGAGCCATGTAGTCTAGACACAGCCTCACTCTCTCTCTCTCTTGCTCACTCTCTCTCTCTCTCTTTTGGATGGACTGAGGCTTAGTCAGGTTGCATGCAGGAAATACTCTGCTCCCCAGTCATCACTGAGCAGAAATTTCAGCTTGATCTTTCTTGTGCCCTGCTGCTCTGTGAGGTGCAAAACAACTATGAAAGCGTCAAGAAGGTGGCACAGCAGATGAAGAGGAAGTGCAAACACTTGGCCTGTGACCTGGAGGACACCCGGGTTCTTACAGAAAACCTGCAGAGCCGCAATCACGAACTGGTGAAGAAGCAGAAAAAGTAAGCGTGTAGGAAGCTAGCTGTGAAGTTTGCAACCAGAGACAGCTCTGACTTCAGAGCTGGCTTTGAGACACCTTATCCTCTTGAGTTTCACAGTACCTGCAGGTGCCCCCCAAAAGGTTAGAAATGTATTGGGTCTGTGGCCATCACTTCCCTTTCTGCCAGTTGTCTCATATTTCCTTTTCCTGCACTGCCCCAAATACTGAGATTGAGCCCTTCTAACCACCTCAGTGCCAGCCAACAACCTGGGATCAGAATCATCAATGATTTAGATAATGGCATAGAGAGGGTGCTTATAAAGTTTGCAGATCACACCAAGCTGGGAGGGGTTGCAAATGCTGTGGATCAAAATTCAAAATGATCTAGACAAAGTAGAAAAAAGGTCTGAAGTAAATAGGGCCATTTCAAAGTGCTCCACTTAGGAAGGAACAATCAGTTACACATGTATAAAATGGGAACTGACTGTCTAGGAAGGAGTACTATGAAAAGGGATCTAGGAAGCATAGTGGACTCAGGGTCGGGTTAATACCTGTTGAGGCCCTAAAATATGTCAAATTTAAGAGGCCCCAGAGCATTACCAAAAAGTGTGTATTATTCTAACAGAAAGGACAATGAAAATAGAAATAATAATGTTTTATATTTGCATCTATACCAGTATATAGGCAAGGATGCAACTAAAAACTAGACATTTTTTGTATTTAAAGCCCCTCATAATCTGAAAACCTAAGATGTAGTTTACTTAGCTTATGCATAAATCTGACACTGAATGGACCACAAGCTAAATATGAGTCAACAGTGTGACACTGTTGTAAAACAAGCAAACATGACTCTTGGATGCATTCACAGAAGTGTTGTGAGCAAGACACGAGAAGTCATTCTTCCGCTCTACTCTGAGCTGATTAGGCCTCACTTGGAGTATAGTGTCCAGTTCTGGGCACAAATTTCAGGAAAGATATGGAGAAATCGCAGAAGGTCCAGAGAAGAGCAACAAAAATGATTAAAGGTCTAGAAAACATGAGCTATGAAGGAAGAAAGAAGGAACTTGGCTTGTTTAGTCTGGAAAGGAGAAGATGAGAGATGACATACTAGTTTCCAAGTACCTAAAAGATTGTTACAAGGAAGAGGGAGAAAAATTGTTCTCCTTCGCCTCTGAGGATAGAACTAGAAGCAATGGGCTTAAACTGTAACAAAGGAGTTTTAGGTTTGACATTATGAAAAGCCTCCTAATTGTCAGGGTGGTTAAACACTGGAATAAATTGCCTAGGGAACCCTCACTGATATGGACCCCAACTCAGAAGAAGAAAGACACTCCACACATTCCCTTCTCACACCAGAGCCCAGGATGGGCCCAGATTTTGTATGCTTCAGCCCCATTGGGGGCTGGGACACTATCACAGGCTTCCCAATACTTGGGGGGAGCCCTGAACATAGGGGTCAGATCCAGGCAAGCTGGGGGTCGGATGTGGCCCCCGGACCTGAGGTTCCCCACACCAGGTCGAGATAGTGTGCAGGGGACTTGATGGCCTCTCAAGGTCCCTTCCAGTTCTAGCATTCTATGATTCCATGAACATGTCAACAGCCTACAGCTTGTGCCTTCAGCTCCTAAAGCAGTTGGTGTTATGCAGAAGCAAGACCATCCATCCAGTCAGTAAAACTGGGGACTGAGCCCAAGAAATGGATGCAGACAGCAAGACTCCCTCACGCAAAATGCCTTCCAAGCAAACATGAAAAGTTACTTTTATTTGAAAATTTGACGGCTGTAAACCCAGCGAGGCCATCATCGTGTTTTCTGAGAACGGTCATGAAACCTCAGCATGTAAGTTAATGTAGCCAAAGGCTGCTAGTCGCACAAAGTCAGGAACATCTTAAAGGCAGAGGCAGCTTCTTGTGATTGCTCAGATGCCCAGAGTTTAAATACCATCTCCATTAAAGAGCACCAGGCAACAACCTTATAGCAGGTAATAAGCAAATTGTGAACCCTGAAGTAGGCCTCAAACACAGGTTTTCTTTTGGAGGCTGGCATTCTTGGTGAGGCTGTTTATTTTTACCAGCTTTGAATGTTGGATATTACCCAATGGCTACGTCTACACTGGCCCCTTTTCCGGAAGGGGCATGTTAATTTCACCTATCGTAGTAGGGAAATCCGCGGGGGATTTAAATATCCCCCGCGGCATTTAAATAAAAATGGCCGCCGCTTTTTTCCGGCTTTTAAAAAAGCCGGAAAAGAGCGTCTACACTGGCCCCGATCCTCCGGAAAAAGCGCCCTTTTCCGGAGGCTCTTATTCCTACTTCGAAGTCGGAAAAAAGCGGCGGCCATTTTAATTTAAATGCCGCAGGGGATATTTAAATCCCCCGCGGATTTCCCTACTACGATAGGTGAAATTAACATGCCCCTTCCGGAAAAGGGGCCAGTGTAGACGAGCCCAATATGTTTTGTGTCCGTGTAATGCTAACAAATTTCCACTACAGAAACATTGTTCTGTCAGGAAAAATTCAGAGAGCTGCTTACTGTATTTTAAGTACGTGGAGCAGGTAGTGCAGGATGGGCACAGCCCTTCCTCAAAAGTCAGGACTACTTCCTGAGATGCAGGAGCCAGAATTTGCATTTCAGAGGAAGTGGCTAAGACCTGGGAATCTGCATGAATTAAAGACACACCATTAGCCATCCCCAGCAATGATCCCGGGGTTTGCCCCGTCTCTGTATGTTCCCCATGCCAGGAGCAGAACACAGTATGTTCTTGAATGGGATGAAGGGAGCCCTTGAGACCATGTTCCAAATCCTGCACCACTGTCACTGTTTTCTAGACAATGATGCAAAGCCCATTGTTTGGCCAAAGGGGTGTCTGGGATGAAAGAGGGGCACTGCCTCCTCCCAATAAAATGAGAGACCAAAACTAAGTCTTCAGCATCAGCGTATGGAGAAAAAGTGCCAACAACTTTCATTTTACTGTCTCTGTGGAGCTCAGATTCTGAGTGTCGATCTGAGGGGCTTGGGTGTGGCCCATATCTACTAATGAGTCAAGAAAAGGTCATCCCCTAATTACTGCTCTGAAATCTCAAGGTTCCTGGAGTGGGGCAGGGCAGTGTGGCCTCCTAGAGTCAGCTGAGGGAGGCTGCCCTCTGGGGTGCCTGCCGTGTTGTGCAGATGCCATGCACGGGTTTACTTTGTGGGCCTGAGTCTTTTAAAGGGTTTTGCATCAGTAATGGGCAGTTAAAGCTCTAGCTGAATGTTCTGCCCTTGGCTGAGTGCTGCTCTAGGTGCACAGGTGCTAAATGTGCCTGGCTGCTGCCCAGGAGCCTTCAGTTTCTTGAGGCCAGCATTTCAATGGAGAAATTAACAGTTCAACAAATGTCTGCAACTCTTTGCATATTCTGGCTCTCTTATGTGACCCCTTACAAACCAGGCCACGTAATGTTGCCTTGGAAACCCAACTGCCCTTGGCTGAGTGCTGCTCTAGGTGCACAGGTGCTAAATGTGCCTGGCTGCTGCCCAGGAGCCTTCAGTTTCTTGAGGCCAGCATTTCAATGGAGAAATTAACAGTTCAACAAATGTCTGCAACTCTTTGCATATTCTGGCTCTCTTATGTGACCCCTTACAAACCAGGCCACGTAATGTTGCCTTGGAAACCCATCCCAAGTGAATGCTAATTGCTACCTTCTTGCCCTCTCCTTTGGGGGTGCTCTCCTGCTTCCACTCCACTGTAGTCATGTTCCCCTTTGGGACATTGTCTGTGAGGAGCTGTAATGCGGATATGTCACACGTGGCAGGTTTGACATGCAGCTAGCCCAGGCCTTGGGAGAGTCAGCATTTGAAAAGAGCCTTCGTGAAAAAGTGACCCAGGAGAACACCACCATCCGATGGGAGCTGGGTAAACTTCAGCAGATGTCAGAGGTAAGAGGGAGATGTCCCAGTTTGCCCTTGCTTCTATGGCTGCTCCGGAGAACTGGCATCTTACAGCAAAGCCCTAATCACTGTAATTGCAATAATGATACTTAGCCACGTATTGCAGGGCTAGAGATGTCTTTATTCTGGATTCCCCTAGCACACAGCAGGAGTTATAGGGCTCTCCTATATCAGACTCCTCTGACAGACAAGGATGGGCACTGACAGGCCCTGGGCAAGATGGGGAAGGGGCAAGGCCTCAGGCAGAAGGGGTGGGGTTGGGTCAGCCATTCCTGTGTGGCCCAGAGTGCTCTGCATCACCCCCACCCCCTTGGCAGCCCTCAGAGCTGCCTGGAGCATGTGGCATGGGGATCTGGTGGCAATTTAAAAGGCCCAGGGCTCTGTCACTGCTGCTCCTGCTGCAATGGCAGCAGAAGGAGCCCCAGACCATTTTGAATCACTGGGCTGGGGCAACGACCCCTTGCTCCACCCCCGAGGTTGGGCCTGGAGACAAGGAACCCAGCTACTCCACAGAAATGCACTGAAGTAAACTGGGCTCTGCCCAGAGTTATTGGTCTGTGCTCAGGTCTGTCTGTAACAGGCAGCAGGACTAGGGCCTTGGCGCATTGTGCAAAGGGTCTTAGAACCGGAATCAGCACCTCGCGGTTCCAGTTTTATGCTGGCCTAACTCCGAGTCTGATGTCTGTGTAGAAGGGGAGCAACCCACTGTGAAAGCAGCCCTTGTTGGTATAAAGAGAGATGCAGCAGGAGAGTATTTTCAGCCTGTTTACTTGGAATGGGGTGTGACTATTGGACTGTACAGTCATGGGGTACCCCACCCTGCTAGGGTGCCAGGTGTACTGTGACTTGGAGGCATACTCTGTAGGTGCTTCAGCTGCTATACCTGGCAGGTGCTAGCCCTGGTGGGTCCGAATGACCACTCAGATGCATGTCAAAGGGAAGGGTAATTTGCTAGGACTGGCACAAAAGGGAAGATTGCAGATACCTAGGTAGAGAGGCACAGTCAGAATTCAAAGTGAGTGAGAGTGGTTTCTGTTTGGGACCCTGGGGTCATCCAACTGAGAGTGCTCATGCCTACTGCCTGGGGTGCCCTCTCTAGTCCTTTGTCTATTCAGGCAAAGAGCAGCTTGTGGATTCCCAGGCCCTACTCTCATGGGGCTCCTCTGTCCTGGCTTCTTGTGGCCAAACGCCCCACACAGACCTGTCCCCAAATGAAACATCTGTCAATCACCACCAGTTCTATAAGCAGTTCTGCATTCAATCCCTGGAGAATGAATATATATGTACATATATATAAAAATGAGAAACTCCTGGCTTTCCAGGCAGCTGCACCCAGTGAGTCAGGCTTGGGAAACTGCAAGTAGTTATTTGCAAAGGATTACAGCTCCTATCAGTCCCCCTCCACACTGCAGGTCAATATCCTCCAGGCCAGATTAAGGCCATGTCTATACTTACATGCTGGAGATTGATCTTCTGGTGTTCGATTTAGCAGGTCTAGTAAAGACCCACTAAATCAAATGCTGAGGGCATCCCCAGTTGACCCTCGCAAGAGGACAGGGACCTGCAGTGGTGAGGGGGCGGAGAGGAGCTGTAATCTTTTGCTTAGCAGATCCATCATCAGGCTCTCTCAAAAAAAGACCTTTAGCATTAGTGTTCATTGAGATGATGTGTCTCTCATTCTTGAGTCTCAGAGATATGAGGCAGGTCCATCAAAGCTTATGAGAGGAAGAGACTACTCAGTAAAGCTGGTACAAGTTAGGAGCTGCAGGTGCATGGAGGGTGTCTTAAAACTAATAAATCGTACAAAGAGCGGGGCCCAATGGAGTAGTCTGAAGGAGTGGGTCGTTATTTTCACTGAGTGGCTGTAGCATCAGACAAGCTCCGAGTCCACCTCCCATCCTTTGTCATGAGTTGAATCCCCAGAGTATCTGTAGCAGATTGCAGAAGAAAGGTAGACGGCTAGCATTATTGTTGTCTAGACACTGCATGAGAGAGAGAGAGAGAGAGAGAAAAGCCTTTTCTTTCCCCTGTATCTTCCTTCTCTGCCTATCACTCAAAGGGAAGTTTTGAGAGCCAGGTTAAACTTTCCAAATTTCCGTGAAAGCTATTTTTAAACCTTTTATTTAAGTGATCCCCCACAGTCACAACAATTCCTGACCAGTTCTGGTTTCTCAGTCAAGTCCTGAGAGGTGGTTTTCTTGGGGAAGCAGATGGCTGCATTGCTAATGAGATTAACGAGACAACTCTGACCCTTTACATGTGTGGGCTTTCTTCCCCTGCCTCCGCACAGCAAAAGGACCTGGAAACATCCAATCTGAATCAGCGAATAGCACTGCTGGCCACCCAAGTGCAGGAGCTCACCTCATCAGAGACCTGGGATGAAGGGGCTGTGGCTGCGCTACGGAAGAAGCTTTGGGAGCTGGAGTCCAATGCTGCTGAACAGCAAAACGAACTGAGCCGACATGTGACTGCTGCTGAGCAGCTGGAGCAGGTAACATGAAGCTATTCCAGACACAAGAACATGAACATAAGAATGGCCGTACTGGATCAGACCAAAGGTCCATATTTCCCCATGTCCTGTCTTTCCACAGTGGCCAATACCGGGTGCCCCAGAGGGAAGGAACAGAACAGGGAATCATCAAGTGATCCCTCCCCCGTCAATCATTTCCACCCTCTGACAAATAGAGGTTCGGGACACCATTCCTGGCTAATAGCCATTGATGGACCTATCCTCCATGAATTTATATTTAGCTCTTTTTTGAAACCTATAAAAGTCCTGGCCTTCACCACATCCTCTGGCAAGGAGTTCCACAGATTGACTGTGCATTGCATAAAGAAAAACTTCCGTTTGTTTGTTTTACACTTGCTCCCTATTAAATAAGTAATCAAGCCCCCAACCTGAGACTGATTTTTAGCCTCTCATCTTATGGAAACTGTATTCAGTTTATTGATTCTTCTCCTTGTTTAACAGAACTATTTTAATATGACTCAACTGTTTCATTATCAAGCCTTAGGCACAGAAACCCATTCAGTTTATGGGTAACAGGTGTTTGCTTTCTTATGGCTGAGTCTCACAATGTGAGAGCAGTACATCATGGTGGAAAGCTGACAGCGTGCAGGTGGCAACTTCATTAGCTGCCTGCATGGTAACAATGCGCTCTTGGAAGGTCTGTCATTTGAAGCCCCCTGGCAGTGAGGTCAGGGATCTGAGATGTTTTTTAGGGTGTGAAACCTAGTTGTGCCCCTCCCACGCATTTGGGCTGCCTGGAGCTGCCCACCTGGCATCCTCTGAAATTTTTAAAGGAAATGGGTTGCCATTTCCTTCTTATTCAGTAAACTGGGGATGAGCAAGGAGAGTTTGTAACCATTCCCCCAGCAGATCTACAGCTCTTTGTCTTGGGTCTCCTCAGCTCCACATGAGGCTTGAAATGGAAATAGAACGGATGAAGCAGATGCACCAGAAGGACCTGGAAGACAAAGAAGAGGAGCTAGAGGATGTTCGCCAGTCCTGTCAGAGGAGGGTATGTCAGCAGCGTGCTAATTGGGATGGGACTTGCTGAAGGGTGTAACCAAAGGACTCAGGGGGCATAACTAACAAACCTGCCTTTGGAGAAGGGATTTACAATTCTCTTCTGCAAGCAGCTTTGACTAGGGAACAATTGGGGAAGTAGGCCCAGATTTTTACAAGCATTTGGACATTGACCTGCTCAGCATTCGAAGCCTAACCTGATTTAAGTCCCGGCTTGACAAATCCCTGGCTGGGATAATTTAGTTGGGGCTGGTCCTGCTTTGGGCAGGGGGCTGGACTCAATGACTCCTGAGGGCTCCTCCAGCCCTGGGATACTATGATTTAGACAAGAAATGGGGCAGAGCCAATATAACTTCTAATCTAAATGCAATATACAGGAAGGTGCAAAGCCCAGTGTTTAACATCAGGTCGACATGCTGCTTTCAAGCAGCCCGTATGAGTCATGCATCTTGAGCGCCCCATTGTCAGTCGTGCATTATCTCCGTTGAGGACAAAGGTATCTATGCTTTTGTATATAGAAAAATGGAGCTGTGGGGGCATCTGGACACAGAGGAAAGCAAACACAAGTGGCATCCATCAGTCCCCCAGCCAGAGGTGTATGGAGGAGTTGCATCAGAGGAATAATTGGGTCACTGATGCATGTATGACTGGATGATTGGCAGGGCCACAGGCCCCTGCAGAGAGCCCTCATCTCTCAGTCTGCTGTGGAGAGCCATGTACAGCAGCAACATTCTGTCCTGGGAAATTAATAGAGGGAGGTTCAACTTTGGCCAGGCACATCACAATGGATATGATTCTCTCTACACATCTTCCTCCTCTCCCTATTAATTTCCCATTATTCTTAGGCCCCATGGCTTTCAATTATTGGGCATTACTACATTGTACTCCTCTAGGGAATCCAGCACTCACAGTTCCCAGGCTTTGCTTTTGCTGGTTTTGTTAATTGCCCTCGATGAAGGAAGAACAGTGTCAATTTCACTGAAAACATGCTGAGCAAGTTCCAAGGCTGCTCTCCACTGAGCAGATAGTTTTCTCCTTTCCCTCCAAACAGATTGGATGTGGTTGTTTTTCCTAAATGAGTAAGTGACAGAGACTCTTAAGAGGGGACTCAAGCTTGCTCGTGCTTCCCTTTTAAAAACTGTGTCTGAGCATCTTTTCAGAGATGCAGACAGAGTTTGGGGGCTGGCGTGGGACAGCTGTGATTAGCCCTGCCGGCCACTGAAAGGTTCAGAGATGGGGTCGTCTTATAGAATCCTAGATCACTAGAATTGGAAGGGACCTCGAGAGGTCATCAAATCCAGTCCCCTGCCCTCATGACAGGACCAAGCACAGTCTAGACCATCCCTGACGGGTGTGTCTAACCTACTCTTAAATATCTCTAGGGATGGAGATTCTACAACATCCCCAGGCAACTTATTCCAGTGTTTAGCCACCCTGACAGATAGGAATTTTTTCCTTCTGTCCAATCTAAACCTCCCTTGCTACAATTTAAGCCCATTGCTTCTTGTCCTACCCTCAGAGGCTAAGGAGAACAATTTTTCTCCCTTCTCCTTTTTAGGTAAAGGGTTGAACTTCTCTATTTTGGCATTCTTGCGACTTGGTTGTTGCCAAACCAGATAATTTGCTAAACCACAAGAGGTCAATATTATCTAGCAGCATTAATAATATTTTCACTACTTGCTGGGCTCTGAGAAGACATTTAGGGGTAAAGTAGAGATAAGCAATAGCACAAACACTGAGAGCCAGGACTGGTGGCTGTAAACAAAGTTTGTGGGACTGTGGGAAAGTTGGCCACACCTATGATAAGTGGACTCCGGCTAACTCAAATCATTCCGGATCACGGATGTTGCCTGACCATAGAGTGCTGGACTTGAGAGGGTCAAGCTATATTTGAAAACTGCTATCATGTTCCTTCTCAGTTTCCTCTTTTCCAGACCAAATAATCCCAATTCTTTCAATTTTCCCTCATAGCTCATATTTTCTACACTTTTAATAATTTTTGTTGCTCTTCTCTGGACCCTCTTCAGTTTATCCCCATCTTTCCTGCAATTTCATTCAGCACATGCATGGGAAACATTAGAGGTAACATGGATCCCAATAGGGGTAACCCCCTGACGTCAGGATAGGCTCTCACTAGAGTAGTATCGAGCAGCCACAAGGAACTGGCACGTCTGGTCTCTGTCTTTCACAAAGAAGGAGGGAGCAGCGCTTGGCATTAAGAGAGACACCGATCTTTGCCAAAGAGGTTTGAGGCAACAATAGTTACTGACAGGAAAGGTGCCTCTGGCAAGGCACTTCATGTGAACTCAAAGTGGTGTCACAGACCAATCTGGACGTAGCCCCTGAAAGCCTTTGTGGGTTGGGAGGAGGCTTCCCCATCTCGCTCTCATTAGCCAGAAGGCCCATTTCCCCAGTCTGCTCATCTGCACAGCACTTACCGCTGCAGCTGTGTCTCAGAGCCCTGGCTGAAGAAATCAGGCTTGTGGGGCTCATGCCAGAGCACTGGGAATAGCAGTGTCGAGGTTCTTGCTCGGGATGGTGTCACAGGGTGTGGGGGAGTCACCAGGCCCTGCACCCCCAGCCACAGCCAGATGTGACTCTGTGGTGGGGTGCTCCCTCCCATCTCTTGTGGCAGACTGGGAGGGACCCCGAGTCCATGAACCCAGATGCCAACTACCCCTCCAGAACCTGGCTCACTTGCCCAAGTCCCTGAGTACAGTCTCTGCATAGCCCTTTAAGGCAAGGCCCTCTGGCCTGAGTCCACAAACATAGTCTTAGTATGGCCCTTTGAAGCAAGGCTTGCGCTGGCAGAACAGGGTTATAGCTGGGCCGCACCCCAGGTAGCGGGATCCGAGCCCACCCTACTCCACCGGTTCCCGGCCCAGGACCCTGTGAGTGACAGGACAGCGTGCCACTCCCTCGGCGGGGAAGTCCTGCAGAAACGTGCCGAGGTTCCCAGGGTAGAAGAGGCAGCTCTCGCTCCTGCCCTAGGCCACTTCCTACCTGGGCATCTGGAGCTACTCCCCACGTACTTGTCAAGTTTTCTGCCCCAACTCGTCTCGGCATCTCCACTGATTTCTTCTGGGGTCTCTGGTAGCTGTGGTCAGGATCTTCCTTCACAAGTCCTTCTCCTCCAGACTGAGCCCTTCCCCAGGCTTTTATAGTTGAGCTGCAGCCTGGGCATGCTTGGTAGGGCTGTGGGGGAGGGGCCTCTGCAGCCAGGTAACCCTGGCTGGGCCCTGCGGATTGAGTGCAGGGTTGCCTTGCCCCGTCACACTTGTCTATTTAGATTGTAAACATTTGGCAGCACAGATCTACTGCTCTGAGTTTGTACAGTAACTAGCACAATCGGGCCCAATTCTTAGCTGTCCGTTCAGCACTACTGGAATAATAATTCAATGGGGTTTATAGTTGTGCTTTAAGTTGTACCCGTGTGCTTAAAGTTAAAACAAGGCTCAAACACTCTGATGATCTGAGGCTTGAGTGCCCCAACCGTTGTAGGATCTAGCCTATAGAAAATACAGGGCCCCCTGCCAGGACCCTCAAGCCAGCTAGGCTCCCTCGGGAAAGACTCCCTCCCCCACCCAGCAATTGGTCACAGACCTCCAGGCTGCCCCGCCTCTCCCTTTGTTCAGATTCCCAGGTAAAGTGCCACCTGACTGAATCCTCCAACTAGATCAGGTGACAGGCCGGCCTGGGCCATTCCCTGCATGTCTCCTCTCAGGAGTTCTTCCCCAGACATCTCATCCCTTGATGGGCACTGCACTCACACACACTCACACACACACAGAGTCACTACAGAGCAGCACAGGACAGTAGGAATTACACACGGCACAACAAAGTAAACAGTGGGTGCAACTACAGCATGAACACTGCGGCTACAAGAGTAAATGCAGTCCCCACTATGTCATAGATGAACCCTAGGCTCTGACACCCTTGCTGGGTGGGGATCTCTACACTTAGTGTGAGCCCCAGGCAGTCACCCCAGGCTCTGAGACTTGCTGCTGCCTGCAGGGTTTCTTTGCCTGTCTCCAGAGAGTCCTTAAGAGACATCCAGTCTCCCGTTCTTGCTAGCATAGTAATAGAAATGTAGCAGAGAGGGAACTTTCAGATGGCTGCAAAGCTACGGTGTGCATGTGAGCAGGGACCACTCCTCTCCTGTGGCTGCTTTGGCCAGGCCCTGGCAGAACACGCCATAGGGCTGTATTTGGATATTTTCAATCAGAAATCAGAGATTTCCTCTCAGATGAACAGCTAAGACTGTGGTTGCCTTCACCTTTTTGCATGGAAAGGTGCAGATCGTTCAGTGACCACTGGAAGGAGCAAGCAAAATTGTGTTGAGACGTAGCTGGTAAGTCAGCTTCAGCTGGAGATTGCCAGCTAAGCCCTTTGTGTCCCTCTCACCTGTGCGCAGCTTCGTCAGCTGGAGATGCAGTTGGAGCAGGAATCTGAGGAGAAGCAGATGGTGCTCCATGAGAAGCAGGATCTGGAAGGGCTCATTGGGACCCTCTGTGAGCAGGTAGGAAACTGGAATCCATCAGCCCCTTTATTTCACCAGCTCCTGGGAGATGAAACTGCAAGCCAGACCAATGTGTGTGTCTCCGATCCTTGGTGTTACCTTCTGGCTTTTGGAACGTCCCTACCCAAAACACTACTGCCTTTTTAAAAGTAATATGGGACAAATTACAAAAAACAAATGGATCCAGAGCAGAGCAAAGCTGTTGCAGAGGGGCTAATTGGAGCTCTTCCCCCAAATATTGTCCAAATATTGACACCAAATATCGTCCTGCCGAGTGGCACCACATTCCTTACCATAGCAGTTATAATGCTATGGCTGATTATAGTAGTAGATCTTGGAGGGGAAGCACTATAGTTTTCCACTGGGTAAGTGTTTGGATAAGTAATCATTGCAAAGGGATGTTTTCCTTATACTGGTTTTGCGGGAGAAGCAAAGAATCCAAAACAAATGCTGGAATAATTCCTTCTGCCCAGAGAAGCTGCTTCTCAGATTACTATTTACCATAGATGTCTGTCCCTTCCACATCTGCTCCAACAAATCTTTTGCCACCATCTAATGTGGTGGAAGAGCATGGCAGGGAAGGAGTTTACACACAGCCATAGCTTCATTAGACAGCACTTTAATTAGAGGACATGCAGATCTAGCCAAGTTTGGAAACTCTCTCGGGAATCATGTCCTGTAGGCTACATCTAGACTGCAAGCCTCTTTTGAAAGAGGCTTTTTCGAAAGATACTTTCGAAAAAGCTTCTTTCAAAAAAGAGCGTCTAGACTATAGCCAGTACAGGAAGTCTGGATGCTCTCTTTCGAAAAAGCACAGTTTGCATTACATAGAGCCTTTTTTCGAAAGAGCATTTTTGAAAAAAAGGCGTTATTCCACGTGAAATGGGGAGTACTGCCATCGAAAGAAAAGCTGCGTTCTTTCAATTTAATTTCGAAAGAACGCAGCTGTAGTCTAGACGCAGGTGAAGTTTTTTCGAAAAAAGCCTACTTTTTTTGAAAAAATCCTGCAGTTTAGACACAGCCGTAGTGGGGAGGAGGGGGTTTTTCATTAAAAACCAGGGTGATGCTAGTCCTCACCTAACTGTGCAGGGTGAGGGCCAGACAGAGTAGCAGCTTCCCTGGACATTTAGACAGGCTGCTTCATTACTTCTGTATGAAGAGACACAAGCAGAGTTTCATGCTAATGTTTTCCAACTGCCTGTGGACAACTCAGCCTTCGATTGCAATTAAAATAGTTGTAAAACTGGGGCACACACAAGAGAGTAGGAGCAACTTATTTAGAATTATACTAATGAGCTAGCATAACTCCTGCTCATTGGAAAGAGCTGGCGAGGGATTATTTGGGCTGGCTCTTGTGTATGTTCCTTACACTTTGGAGCAAAGATGAAGAATTTTGGAGTTTAACACCACCAGTGAGGGACAGATTTTATGACAGATGTAAAATTGTATAATGGGGTCTATCCAGAGCTTTGAGCTCATAAAATGCTTTGGTAACCAGCAGAATAAATGCTGCGATGTAAATGCAGAGTATTATTACTACCCATTATCAATTCAGTATATTCCTCCTGTTTGATTAACACGGGTGAATGAATATAGTCCATGTGCTGCAGAAAGCGTTCAGTGCATGGGAGGAAGGTAACAAAGCATGCTGCCATTCTGGAGCCTCACACAAGGTATTCCTGGGACCGTGTCATGCCTCTCTCTGTGTTCTGCACCAAATGGCCAGGTTCACTGTTGAGATTTTTTCATTTCCCTATTGTGATGACTGGAAAGGAATAGCAAGTATGGGCATGAAAACTACAGTATTAGTTGGCTTCTCAGGCTCTGATTACAGGCAAAGAAAGGCATCTGTTTGTGATGACAAAGGGAGCAGGTAGATACTGGAGTTTTCTGTGCACTGAAAATGCCAAAGTCAATAAACCCAATTTTATATTTCTGACACAGAATTCATCTGGTGTGGCAGACAAGCGCAGAGGTAGGACCAACGGAGCAGCCCCGCAGCCAGGAGACAGCCTGCCTCTGGGGGGAGCGATGGGGAGAAACAATGGGAGAAGAGCAAATCTGCTCTGCTCCAGTGTTATTATTAGCACTACAGTTAGATTCGCAGTGGACAGTATGCCACAGACCTTCCTATCAAAACGCTGAAAGCCAATTAAGGAAACAGAGACACCATCAGTGCCTTTGGGTTACAGAAAAATGCCAAGCAGCTTTGAAACAGGTTCCAAGGTCAAGTCTGTGCACTGAATTTTAACCAGTGACCCAATGATGGAGAGGAGGAGAGAGAGATAAAGGAATATTTAGAAGCACAAAGTGCAAGTGCTGCCAGATTCCAATTAGTATGAAATCAAACATTGACCCATGTCCTTGTTTGCTCATTTCTTTCTAACGCTCTAACTTGTGGCCATGGATACTCACAAAGTTACTTGGATGTAGAATATTTTAAATTCTGTTCCTCTTTCCATTCTCTAAAGGGCTTCAGGATAATGCACAGACACAAAATTAACAGGTGACAAACCTCCACTTAAGCAGCCAGGGCCACACCACCCACATGGAATAACTATCATTTGCAAAAAGTCCTTCTATTTTAAAAGGAAGATGCTCTGCATTAGCACTGTAAGAATAATTCCAAGTGAAATATTTATTTGGTCTGTTTTTTCCATGTTCTTTTTTTCTGATGTGGAATTTCCCAAATAAAATTGAACGTTTTCTTGACTTTTTTTTTTCATTCTTCAATAACTTTTTACCTTTAGCAGTTCAGTATTTGAGATGTGGCCTGATTGTTTTGAGATGTGGGCCATAAAGCACAAGAGATAGTTTCTGTTCCTTGACTGGATGGGTGTAATCCTTGTAACCAGATTTTAGATGTGAATGCCTGCAGAAATCAGAGATTGACTTTCCATGGGTCTACATGTTAGTAAGTCTCAGTTGCACTGGTTTTAACAGAAGGCCAGCATGCCATGGCAGAGATGCAGGCAAAGCCAATCCATTCCAACATTCAATCCAGCATTTGCAGGGTTTTTCCCTACTACTGTTGGAATTTACTCCTGGTGCCTGCACAAAGCCTTGGAGAGAGGCTGGATGGAGGGGGGTAGGGGTTTGTAGTCTCACTTATAGCAGATTTACACACAAGCCTAATAAGCTGTAGCTTGGGACTTCTAAATAAAAAACAATTACTAAATTTAATTTTTTTGGTAATGCTATGGGGCCTCTGAAACAGGACATAGCTTAGGCCTCAGCAGGTCTTAATCCAGCCCTGGCTTGTTTGGGGAAATTCACCTCCCAGCAGGTTCATGTCCCGCAAGTGTAAAGCCTGAAAGGTCAAACTAGCTGTAATGACATTGACAATGAAAACTACATTTTGCAGCCCTCCGTGATCCCAGATTGATATTCTTCAGCATTACTGTCTTGTTCTTCTTCAAACCATGCTTGTTTTTCTGTATTAGCATCCTTGATAACAGTGTTCTCTGAAACTGAGAGTGGGATAATATTGCTATAGCACTCTTTCTTCTGCAGAGGAATGATAGCTCCTTATTGGTACAGTGTTTACTCAGGCTATGTCTTCCCTCTGTGGAAGAGTGATGCTGCCATGATTGATCTTCCGGAGTTTGATGTAGCAGGTCTAGTAAAGACCCACTAAATTGAACTAGGAGGACACGCCCATCAGTGGCTGGTATTCCTACTCCTGCGTGGAGTAAGGGAAGCTGACAGGAGCATTTGCTCCTGTTGGCCTTCCACTGTGGGGATGGTAAGGAAATTTGAATCAAGTTACATCAACTTCAGCTATGTAATTAACATAGCTGGTATTGCGTATCTTGAATCAACCTTCCTCTTTAGTGGCTTCAGATGTATGTCTGTGTAGGAAGCTGGGAATTGGATAGCAGTAACTTGAATTTCAGATCTGGAAGCTCTAACTTCAGGGTTCTAGGCATCTTTGGATAAGTAAGCAGTTAAGCATGCAAAGGCATGCATGTTCAGATGGAAGGTACTCAGGAAGCTTTTCCTGGAATCTGTTACTGCTAAGAGGGGTCAACAGTAAAGATGAAATGGGCAGTGAGATGGTGGATAAAGTCTAGACTCACTGTAGATCTCAATAATCACTATGTACATATGTTACATGAAGGAAATACCACTGAATACAGAAACTTTAAAGTGTCTGCATCTTAGATTTTGTTGTTAGTTATTCATTTGAACTCTTGGATCTCTCAAGATAGTATCTTTCCTACTCCTTTGAAGCCTATTACTTACACTGGAGACTGAAGCAGGCTGAACCTCTGTATGGACAAGATGCTACTGGAAACTAGAACTAGTTGAAAATTGTCTAACACAACAATTTTCTATTTGAAAATGCAATTTCATCAAAATGTTTTGGGAGATCAAAATTTTGTTGCTCAACATGTTGAAGTGAAACATTGCAATAGTCCTAGTTTGAAATTTTCCTGAAGGTCTGGTCCATGGGAAATTTCATGATTCAAACCTTTCAGGGTTTTTTTATTTTGAACTTCCCCCAGAGTGGGGGACTGCTTTAATGAAAACCTTTCTGCCCCCAGATTGGTCATCGGGACTTTGACGTAGAGAAGCGGCTTAGGCGGGACCTGAAGAGGACACATGCTCTGCTTGCGGATGTGCAGCTCTTGCTTGTGACCACTGGAGAGCCCAATTCATCCGTTGGCAAAGAGGAGCTTGAAAAAATTCGCAGTCAGGTCAGAGATGTTAACATTCGGGTTATGGGTAAAATCGTGATAGACACATTTGGTTTTATTTTCTTCTCATTTGGCACTTCTCACTTGGTTATTCTGGGATGCTGGAAACTTGCTTGTACCTTCCCACACAGAAATAAGACTCTTCTCATGGGCCTGTCTCATTATAATGTCACCACATCTTACTGGCCGCGCAGTTATAGAACTTCTTCTGTAAGCATGCCCTGTCAGGGAGACCAGTTGGCCAGTGCCCTGCCTTAATGATTTTGGCATGTATCAGTCAGGGCTAGGAAACAACCTTCAGCTCCAGTAGATTCAAAAAGAGCTAGGTATATGCATGGAGAATAGGTCCATCAATGTCTATTAGCCTTTGGACACTGTCAGAAGACAGAATGCTGGGCTATCTGGGTTAGGGTTAGGGTTTGGTCTGACCCAGTACGTTCATTCTTGTTTTCTTCTGTTTCATAACCCAGCTGTTTCCCCACAAAGATGCAGCCTACTGAACCTGTTTATTCTGATGTTTCACAGCCCCCCTAAGTATCTAAAATCTTGTGATCTGCATATTCTTGGCCTCCCTGATTTCATATTGAGATGACAAAAGTAAGAAAGGAGCTGGAAATGTGTTCCATAATGGAAAGGGTTAGTTATTGGGAGTTTGGTCAGGAAAACAAAGCCAGGAGAGCAGTTGCTCTCTCTCCAGGTTCTGTTTGCTCCCGTGAGTTCTGGAGGAAAGATGGGAAATGTGGGAGCATCGCTGTTTCACCTTGGAATTGCATGGAGGATGCAGGGTGAGCTCCAGCCGAGTTGTCATGTTCCAAAGGGCCATACCTTTCACTCTGGGGGGGAGATCTCTCTGCTGAGACTGACTGAACCCTCTGGGATTGGTGTGCCAAGTGAGCACCTTTAAAGACAGAGCGCCTCTCTGCACAACAGGTTTTTCATAAGCTCCCCTCAGGAAAACAAGCTTCTCACAGCCTCCAAAAATCTCTGGGTTTGGCTCTCCTTTGCCATTGCTCTCCCGTCTGAAATAATACCCATGCTGACTGGTGGGCACTGGCAATTCAACTTAATAGGCATGAGCCGTGCCTTTGAGTAATGTGATTTTAGGGTTCTGACTCATGGTTCTCATGAAGGGCTCAATCCAAAGCCCCGAGAAGTCAGTGGAATGAAAGGGCTTGTGCTCCTGCCCAAAGACTGGATTTGGTTCTGTGGGATTTCTAAGGTAAAGCAGGTGTCTAGTCAAATCCACATGGTCCTTCCCTCTATCTCTAGACACGTCCTAGTTATTAGTCATGCCTACAATGGAAAAAGTAGTGAAGAAACAGAAAACACATTGACCTCAGCCTGAGAATGGCATCCAGCAAACATCATGCACTGTGCCCAAGATAGAGGCTCATGGCTGTTTTAGGCTGTCCATCATCTGACTAATGAACAGAACTATCCTGACATACCAACGCCTTGCTAGCATTTCCCAGGGACAGGATTTATTTACCTGAACCAAAGTGAAACTTCAAGATTATATGAGGCAAGACGTTTTTACAGAACTTTCCTTTTTAATTGTGCGGCAAGATAACAGCAGCCTCTGCACACATGTCTGAGCACAAAGACCGTTTATCTCAGACCATAAAAGGCTTTTCTCCCCTCTCTGGTATAGACTGGAATCTTATCTTGGGAATGAATGGTATTCAAGGCCTACAGTTAAATAAAAATTTTCTGCCTTTCTTTTTACAGCCCATGTTAATTACCTTCCCCTCAGTGTGTTTTCCACCTTTCTGGCAAATGAAATCTCTTTTCATATCTGTTGTCATGGAAATAGTTATAAGCGTTGTGTGTTGTATTATAACCCGTACAAGGATCAAAGTTTAATTTGCTTCTGATTTAAGCTCAGACACTCTGCATTCCATAACAAGCACAGAGCAGAATGGGAGCTAAATGCATCCCATGCCTTTCTGTATTCATGTTGGGCTGCTCCAAAGAATTGAAAACTGTATGTGGGTGGGGGGTGGTGACTGAAAGGATGGGTAAGAGTCTTTCTAACAAACCTCAGCCTGTATCTGTGAGCAAAGTCTGAACACCAGACCTCCAACACTGAAACCATTAACTCCGACAACAGGCACCAGTAGAGATTGAACCTCCCAAATCTGGACTGTCTGATCCCAGCAACTGGGCCACGGATGTTGCTGGACCAAAAAGTCCTGAAGGCTGGGAGTGGGAGCCAGCCAGGAGAACATGGGGTGGGCCAGGTGGCAGCTGGGGAGCCGTGGCTGGAGAGCCCCGGTGTCAGCAGGTGGGGGCCAGGGAGTCCTAGCTCTGGATGGGGAACTGCTGGCATTAGTGAAGCCAGGTGTGGTTGGGGAGTCCTGGTCCCTACTGGGGAACCTCCACATGGCTATAGGGCCAGAAAGCAGCCAGAGAGCCCCAGTTCTGGCCTGGGAACCCCCAGGTGGCAGTGGGGCCAGGCAGTGGCCAGGGAACCATGGCAGTAGTGGGTTCACAGCACAGCAGGGAGTCCCATGTTAAGGAGCCTGGAAGTGGGGCAGCAGGGAGCATTAACCTCCCCTGTTCTGGGAAACTCCATGGTTCAGGACTGATTAGGTCCTAAGGCTGCTGGACCAGGGAGGTCCAACCTGTAGTAGGTTCTTATCCTCTATGGAGATTGGCCACTTGAAGGGAATATGAAACATTTATTCTGTGTGTTGCACCTCTGTAGTGTTCTAGGGGTTGCTGCTTTTGAGAATTTAAGCTCGGTGTTATAGCAATGGGAAAGACCTGCTCAGTTAGCTGCAGCCAGTGTAAACCTCTTTCCTACCATGCATTGGATGATGTTTTCACTGGTATCTTTCTAAAGGTCCCAAGTGATGGAGTATTCACTGCTTTTCCTGGGAGACTATTTCCCCATGCTCACAAATCTCCCCATGAGGAAGGGCTTGAGGTGTTGCTTCCATTACCCGCAGCTTCTTCCTAGACGCTCCTTTGGTTATGCAAAGCTCAGAGCCCTCTGGGGTGTGTGGCTGATGGAGAGAGAGGGACAGAGAGGCGGCTCCTTGCTTCAGAAAAGAATGAAAAGTCTGGGGGAAGAGCCCACTAACCCTGTGGAACTCTGCTTCTGTGGGTGTGACTTTTGGGCATCTGTCTCTCCAGGAGTGGCTGCTTCCCTCCCCCAGCGGCAGGTGTGGAGCAAGTGCCCTGAATGTCCGGCTCTTTCGGAGGAGGGTTCTTGCCATGCAGAGGGGGGTGGAGCAGTTAGTGCAAAGGGCTGGGAGACCACATGAGGAAATGGCAGATCAGAGTGAACAAGCTGGTGTGAACTGACTGTAGACCCTTGCCTGACCATCCCAGGAAGCTCACAAGGAATCCTTGCCATTTGCGGTCATTGGAGACAATGGAAATGCCATGGGAAGGGCCTTGCTGCTCCACAAAGCCCGGCAGGATGAAGAAGCAGTGCTGACTGGGCATGGAATGTCACACTAAGCATCACCTGTGCTGTGTCTGCAACTGCCCCCACACACAAAGGCTACGTCTACACTGGCATGATTTTCCGAAAATGCTTTTAACGGAAAAGTTTTCTGTTAACAGCATTTTCGGAAAAGTGCGTCTAGATTGGCAGGATGCTTTTCTGCAAAAGCACTTTTTGTGGAAAAGCGTCCGTGGCCAATCTAGACGCGGTTTTCCACAAAAAAGCCCCGATCACCATTTTCGCAATTGGGGCTTTTTTGCGGAAAACAAATCTGAGCTGTCTACACTGGCCCTTTTGTGCAAAAGTCTTTCGGAAAAAGACTTTTGCCCAAACGGGAGCAGCATAGTATTTCCGGAAAAGCACTGATGATCTTACATGAGATCGTCAGTGCTTTTCCGGAAATTCAAGTGGCCAGTGTAGACAGCTGGCAAGTTTTTCCACAAAAGCAGATGATTTTGCGGAAAAACTTGCCAGTCTAGACACAGCCAAAGTGCAAAGGAGAGGCATGGGAGTGGTGACAGTTTAATGACATCAATCTGCAGAAGACATTTAGTAATTAATCCGTGTTGTACATTTCCACTGGAAACAGACTAATCTGGAGACCTAAGCAATTCCTGCAACATACATATATAATTGAGATAATACTTCTGCATAAATAACATCTGTGAGCTGCAGCTGTTTCCACCTGCCATGGGTGGGGGGGGGGGGGGGGGGGGGGTTGCTGAAGGGAAATATTTGAATAAAGCAACTCATTAATTTCTGGTCAGTGTCAAGGAGCGGAGTGAACATCAGATGAATAATTTCTAAGGGTACTTAGGACTTCAAATACATCCTATGACTCACTTACTACAGAGTTTGGGGGACACAGGTGGAGTTGGAAATGATGCCTGCAGGAGCTTAAGGCAGCTAAAAGCCCACATCAGGAAGGGAAATATTTGAATAAAGCAACTCATTAATTTCTGGTCAGTGTCAAGGAGCGGAGTGAACATCAGATGAATAATTTCTAAGGGTACTTAGGACTTCAAATACATCCTATGACTCACTTACTACAGAGTTTGGGGGACACAGGTGGAGTTGGAAATGATGCCTGCAGGAGCTTAAGGCAGCTAAAAGCCCACATCAGTTGATGCTGGATCAGAAATGCAAAATGGAAGCTCAACCCATATCATTCAGCACCTCTTTCCTTGCGTTAGTTGGCAAAGGGTATTAGAAAGGGTGGTGAGAAATGTTCCTGTGAGTGGTTCTTCAGAACCTGCACACAGTGTTCCTGGCTTCTGTGCTTGCTGTGTGAGGCTATGTCTAGACTGCACGCTTCTTTCACAAGAAGCATTTTTGGAAGAGATCTTTAAACCAAACTTCTTCTGAAAGAGAGTGTCTACATAGCAAAAGTGCATTGAAAGAGCAATCTGCTTTTTTGAAAGGTCGTATTCACACTGAATGGACGCTGTCTCGCATATAAGCTGTGATTGCTAAGGGTGGAATGGCCACCAGGGCACTTGTGCTTTTTCCTCTTTCCTCCTCTTATAAAGAACTCCCTCTTCCCCAT